AAGCACCGAGCGCCGTGCCCGTCGCCACCTACCTCAAGACGCCTTGGCCACCAACGTAGCTGAGGTGTAAGGGTTTCATTTTGGATGGTGGTGTGCGTGTCTGTGCGTGTTTGTGAGTGTGTGTGTGTGTGTGTGTGTGTGTGCCGCCTGGGGTTGCTTGCCAAAGCTTGGCAAGTTTTATGTTTAGATTTCTAAGACGACGACGACGACGACGACGACGACGCCGCCGCCAACGGATTTTCAACTATAAAATATTCTTTTCATTTTTTTAATAGCAACCACCCAATCCCACCCATCGAGCCACCCAACCTCCACCCACAGCAGGCGGTGCAAAGCCATTAAAAGCAAACTCTGAATTATAGTACGCTATGTACCCATACCTATATATACATATATATGTATATGTATTTATATATATATATGATATATATTTGTATGTATTTTGTTTCTTTTCGGTGTTTAGCAGTTAAGCGGAATGGCCGCGTAGTTTTTAGAACGACGAGCCATTCCTCAAGCACAGTGGTTGCAGCTCATTTGTCGCTGCCATTGTGACTCGTAGGCTCCAACATTGTCGACAGAGGCATGTCATTATATTGACTTTTAGAACACGCGTGCCGAATTGACGAGCAATATAGCAAATAAAATCCACAATAACCCTCACACTTTCAATATTTGCATTGACTCATGTGGAATGCATGGCTATATATGATATATACTTGTACCTACATGCAAGTAAACAGTCATCAATAAAGTTCATTCGGTCGTCGACGATGATTAGCAAAAAAAAATAGAGTCGGCTCGAAACTTTGCACAAATATCATTTTATTGGTGCAGCTGTTTCATGGTTGTCGAGTAAAGCGCATATATTTTGTTTGAGCTCGCTCCTCCACATACTGGATAAGTCGTTGCCCATTAATTTGTCTGCCCAATCCGACAGATAATGCCTCAAAACTAAATTGCAGTAATACCAAAAATTCAGCTTCTCATGGATTCTATTGAAAAGCTATGTAAGAGTGCGAATTCCAAACTTTTTAAAATACAAGTATTTTAAAAATAAAACCAAATTTGAAATCAACATAATTATAATATAAATACTGATTTTAAACCACGGTACGTTTCGCAGCCAGCCACGTGCCACAGAACTAAGAAAGTAAGCAGAACGCAACAAAAACGAGCAGAAAATCGAAACGAAAAAGAAACTTTTCTTCTATTGAAGCTCCGAAATTTGGCAAACGCCAACCATGGCCATGGACGCAGTTGCCAGCGCTTACAGTGGGCTGCGGTTGGAAGTGGCACTGTGGGCTGTGCCAGGGGCAGGGGTCGGGGGAGGGGGAGGGGGAGGGGTAAGGGCAGACACTAGAGTTTGCTATTGCTGCTGCTTTTCTGCTCGAATGAATTTTAGAATTTGCCGCATTTTGTCTCTCAACTATGTGCAATAATAATAACGGCAGCAACCAAAGCGGCAACTAGGAGTAGCAAAGTAGCAACAACAACAACAACCAGAATAAGAACAAGAACAACAGCACAAACAAATGCCGCGACGCGTAACAAAACAAAAAAAAATAATAATAAATAGAAGAAGGAGAGGAACAGTAAATGCCACAAAACGTGCTTCTAAGTTATTTTTCATTTTCCACGCTGTGCACAGAAGCAGTACCACCCTCCCTTCCCCCCCTCCCCCCTCCCTCCGCCCCCCTTTCACCCTGGAACAGCACCACCTTACCATCATTACAGCACCACCACTTACTACTTGCCACTTTCGCGCTACTGCTTGCCATTGCTGCTGCTACTGCTGATGTTGTTGTTGTTGTTGTTGCACAGTAGTTAGGCCAAAGGCAACAACAAGGAGCCCTACACACACACACACACACACACAAGGATGTGCGCCAGCAGCCCATTTTAAGATTTATGTCGGTGATTATTTCTAAGTTTTTGTGTTGCGCTCAGCCGCCATAAAGCAGCCTGCGTGCGGGCAGCCAGTCAGTCCCAAACAGGTATACGAATATACAAACAAACACACACACACACACACACACAGAAACACAGATAGGTAACATTCGTCCACTACTGGACCCATAGAATAGTCGACGTTGCCGTCCACGTCCACGTCCTTGTCGTCTTTGGCACAGTGTGCTTTAAATAGCTCATACGCCTCGTGGTCTGCGCCTTGCTTGGCATGAGAATATAACCCAAGAACTTTTGGCAAAATGTTAGTTTTGTACAAAGATGCAGACTGCCCTTCTATTCAGTTATCTGTCCGGGTGTCTGTTGTGTCCGGTTGTGCGTCTACCTAAGTGGCCACAGCTTTGCAAGCTTTTTCAGCTTTACGCCAGCTCAGTAAGCCAACTTGTGATTCACTTTTGTTGCCTTGCTCTTGCCCAAAAACGAGGCACAAATGCAAATTTTGAAGCCTCCTTGATACGAATACAGTGCGTATTATCGCCACTTTTACTGCAGAATGGTGTTGCTTCTTGTTGTTTTTGAAGTACAGATTTTTCAGATGGACACTTTCATTTTAAATTACACCTGAAATTTTGTTTTTATTTAAACATTTAACATTTCCAAGTAGTTGCAATTTAATGATCAGTTATTCGAGTACCTGATGAAACGATGAAAATAAATTTGAATATGCAACTAATAGCATTTTCTTGAATTATATTATGCAATCATATAAAAAGCAACAGTAGTTCCCGATAGCTTTGACAGTTTGCTCACCATTATCTAAATTCCAACAAAATAGTTCATTTATTTTACTTTATATATGTCAGTATGCAGACATAAAAACAATATATTAAGACTCAACAATCTAACATTCTAGGAAGAAAATAAAAAAAAGGCGCAGCACATTAGAAAGCAACAGAAAAAAAGATTTAGTTTTTTTAAGGTTAATTGAGTCTATAATTTCTTATGAAGACGTTGACAAATATTTAACAATTGTACTTATGTTCAGATTAAAACATCACACACTTGAGGATAAAAGTCCCACAAAACCATAGTTTCAAGCTTTAATATCCATTACAACCATTATTTGTGAGTTCGTGTCTCACTTCAAGCGTCAATAATGGAACTACAGCGTTCTCTCGATCGATTCGAAATGAAATCTGAAACTGGCAGTGCTAGTCAAATTATATTGTGAGCCATTGCTTTGCTACATTTTCATCGAAGACTTCTTGCAATATTTCAATTGCTTATACATCCTGTTGCTACAAATTAGAAAGCACTACCCGGTAGAACGGAATTCCGGGAAACCAGTTGTATAAGCCTTGAGGTCTCAGTTCCAATCTTTCTACTAAATGTTTTCCCATTTTCCAATACGACTCGAATCACGGCTCTATATTTTATTCGTAAGAACTACGGCTCGTTGAAGCTTGAGGCCTAACTAGATTGATTAATGGTTGATGATTCGAAAATATATTTCATTCTGCTTTAAAAACTATTGCAGATCATTTTCAAAGAGAGCTTCCGAGCTCTTCGCTGAACGTGTTGATTTGATTTCACATTTTTCGAGTCGCTAATTAGAAAACTAATGCCAACAGTTCTGGATTGGTTCTGAAGCCATGAGAGTGCACAATTTACTGTGCAAAGATGTTCATTTCGTACATCTCAGCGTTGTGGTTTGCTGGGCTATCGGGTTACTAATGGACAAGTAGCTGGCTATACTTATTTGGTACTGCAGGGCTTAAATATAAATTTTGTGGCATACAAACAGGCGCGCTAATGCCATGCTACTTTCTGCTTAATTGTATTGTTGAGTTCAGTTGTGGAGGGGCAGGTACAAATATAGAGCTGGCCATTACTTCAAGACGGTGCGCCAACTGAAGCAGCAGAATGGAAATGAAATAAAACTTAAAATAAGGCGAGAGCATGGAAACTGATTGTGCCAAGTTTTGCGACTTGGAAACGAAAAGCAAAAAAAAACAAAATAGAATAAATAAATAAATAAAAATAGAATGAAAGTAGGCTGTGATGACTTGGATTGAACTGGACAAGACTGGGCTTTTGGGAGTATATGTAGTTAGTAGTTTGTTGCCTATTGGGGGCAAGTAGTAGTTTTGGCTGCTGTTGTTTCTCTGCTTCTTACTGGCTTGGCTTTTTCGTTAAGCTCACTTTCCACTTTCCTTTCCTTTTATCGCCGTGCTGGCCAACAATTGAGCGCTGACAGGTGAAGCAATGAGGCAATCGCTCGGTCTTAAGGCCCAGTCAGGCGGCAAGCTATAACAACAGCAGCAACAACAACAACAACAACAACAATAACTACAGCAATAAGCAGCAATTGAAATGCGATGGCAAATGGCAACATAAAAAATGTATCTAATGTTTTCCTTAGTTATTTTTTCTGTTGTTCCTGTTGTATTTCTACTTATTGCATTGTTGTTGTTGTTGTTGTAGCTCTTTCCATTATTTAGCTCGTTGTCGTTGCTTGGGCTGTAGTTGTTGTTGCTTTTTTCTAAGCACACAATGCTTACTATTTTCGTATAACATTTGCGCTTGCCGCTGTTGTTGTTGTTGCTTTTGTTGTTGTTACATTTAAAATGTTTTATTTGGCCATTTGTATGTTTTATGGCATTCCTTGCCTGGCTAACCTGCCAGCTCCCCCACCCAACATCCCACATCCAATTCCCCCCACTTACTAAACGCTCGCAAGCACTGCTGTTTTTTATTTTATTTAATTTATGTGCCGCACATTCGCCCACACACGCACACACACACACACACACAGACACAGAGAAAAGTGTAGCTACAATATACGTGTATTATGTACAGCATCACATACATATATAAATTGGCAGGTATACTTGTATACTTACTTGTAGAGTATAAATAACTTTAGCTTAGAAAATCCCAAACAGCATTTGCCAGCAGTTTATAATTTCTTTGCTCCTTCCATCTCTCTCTTTTCAGTTTACACTGCGTCGTCACAGGTAAGTTATAGAGAGCTACAACAACAAAGGATAATGAATGCTTGCCCTCTCCCGGACATATCGAAAACGCTTCGATTTTGACTACGACGTGATTCGAACACGCAACCTTCTGATCTTAAATCAGATGCGCTTCCATTGCGCCACATAGTCGACTTTGGGCGTCTAGATATGGTGGGTAGAGCATATAGCATATATAGTATATCCGCACAAATATCAATTAGCATCGATTCAATCGTAGTGTCCATAAAGCATACAAGTAGTAGTTAAATAATTAAATTGAATTCAGCTGAAAAATAAAATGCAGTATCTGAGATCTAGGTGTTCATACGGACGGGGAGCAGTGCAGACTGACAGACAGGCATGGCTCAGCCCATAATTCTGATTAAGAATATATAGTATAACTATACTTAATAGGGTCGAAAATGCTTCCTGCTATCTGTTACATTTTGCACTTTGCAAAAGCCAAATATACCCTTTAGGAACTGGTTATATATATTTTGTAGAATTCACATATTTCAGAATCATATTAAAATTTAAAAAAACCTAAAATATAATCATTTTCACGGGTATTTCATAGTCGACTAAGAATATCTTTCATGTTTTTTATATCCCGTAGGGTAAAAAGGGTATATTAGGTTTGTGCAAAGTATGTAACATGCAGAAGGAAGCATCTCCGACCCCATAAAGTATATACTATATATTCTGAATCAGCATGACGAGAGAAATCGATCTAGACAGATTATCCCAGGTCCGAGAAAGGACGAGCTTATTTTATTTTTTTTAATTTCCTCCCTTCCCCCGCTACAGAATTTCGTCAATAGCGTCCACATTTCAATTGCGACCTAAACCAAACCTTGCACACATAATTTACATATAATTATCTACTGTTGTTTAAAATTTTATTCAATTCGGTCAATCAAAGAAAAGTTATTAGCGAAACAAATTCTCGCCAGAACAACCCCCACAAACTGCAGCAACAAGTTCGCTCTTCTTCTTCCTCTTTTTGCTACTGCTATGGGTGCATATAACTCAGTGACGGAAGTTTACCTGGGTACAGGGTATTACACTGTCGGGCTTGCTCGACTGTAGCGTTCTCTCTTGTTTTCATATAATGCACAGGGATGCTGTACAATCTAAATAGTTAATAGATTCAGGTTCAGTTTATTACAAGAGAACAATAACGAGATGTCTTATTATGATAATTAAGAATTCAATTAGATTTATCCACAAAATGAAAAACTATTTAAATCCACACTACTCCACTGGAACTAAAAGAAATTCAAAATATTGTAGAAAAACTTACTCTTCTGACACTTTTGTTTCTGAAGGAAACGTGTGAAATTTTTGCTTATTTGTGCGTTGTTAATCTCGTTGTTTTTGTTTTATAAGCCCATATTGATATTTTTATTAATACTACAGTTCCATCAACCAGGGACCGCAAATAATGATTATTTTGTTTTTTTATGAACGTAAAAATCATAGTAACTTTGCGAAAGCGAGAAATCTACGAATATCCTGTTTTTAGATTATCTATGCATTTTCACCATGATTTGTTTTCTTGTAAGTCTTTCATCTTTCGTCTTTATTTAAGATATGTCCTAAGGTTGGAGACAATTATTAAATTATATGATAATTTGGATATTTTTTAATCATGCTTCTATATCATGATGGTTGCAGCGTGATTCGAACTCAAGGAATGGGCTTATATTGTGGGGTTCCTGCTAGCACATTAATCATTAATACATAATATTCTTTAAATACGTTTTTTAGCCCAAAACTTTACTATACTTATATTTAATGAACTTTTTTTGCTCAAAAATAATGATGATTAGTTAAATTAAAAAGTAAAACTCTAAATTAATCATTATACTGTGAGCGAATGAATAACATTCAAAAATAATCATTGTTTTGTAAGTTTTATGATTACAGTCCCTGCTTTTAACATTATTGTTCTTGTTCTTAATATTGGTTTTATAGAAATTCAAAACAAATCAGGCATAGATAGTTTAATTATAATAATTTGTTAAACCATTTAAAATGAATCTATCTGTAGAATAAGCATTTAAAACACTTTGAGGAGAGCTTTAGCATTACTTGAAATACAAATGGGGGGAGAATGTTGTGATTGTTGCTGGAAACTACTTGCAACCATAGGCAGAAACAAAATACATGTATGTGTGTATATATGTATGGTATATTCGAGTATGTACTTACATATGCATGTACATGTGTACCTATGCATGTTGAAGTACATACATATGTACATACATACACGTACACGTACATTATGCTACTGTGGAAAGTTATATTCAATGTCAGACGACTTCAAATCAACATTACCCGCATCTTTTTTGCTCTGCTCGCTGTCAAGTTTACTTTCGTTTTTTTTTTCTCTCTACTTCCACCTCTTCTTCGACGTTCACGTACACTCTCATATTCTTATATCATATTGCAAGCTAAACACAAAAACAGACGCATACACACGCACACACATATATACAGAGATATATTAATATACAACTAAATGCGTCTACAACTGGAAAAAAGGAGCAGACGCAGCAGCCGCCGCCTTCAAAAACTCACACACACACACACACACACACACACAGACACACTCACACACATGCACACATACACATTCACAAACGCGCACGCTGATGGAGAAGTATTAAAAGTAATAATAAGTACCTTTTTGGTTAGAGAGGCGGGAGGTGGAGTGGGGGCGGGGGGCGCGACATAGTCTACCAGCCGCCCACCCGCACATAGACATTGAAATGAGGTTTTTTCTTTCTTTCTGCTTTTTGTTGTTGTTGTTGTTGTTGTTGCAGTTGTTGTTGTTCTTATTGTTGTGGCTGTTGAAATAAAAAGGATGCCTTCCTGCCGTGCCGAACTCACGCACACAGACACACACACACACACACACACACACATGGCCATGAGCTTGGCATGCTCAACATATCCCCCTAATATCCACTTACAACAACAGCAACTAATACGCTGGTTGTTGCCTGTGCAGCACCAACAACAACAACAGCAGCAGCAAGGAGCAATGCAAAAGAAATATATCAACCCTCGGCATTCGCGGCCTTGTGTGCTTTTTATATTTTTTTTTTCAAAGTTACTGAAGTTCTCTTCTATATGAGTGTGTGTGTGTGTGTAGGTGTATATGTGGGTCTGTGTGTGTTTGTGTGCTATTACTGTTGTAGTACTTAGTTGCTGGTTTGAGTTACATCTATTCAACTCGACAAAAAACTCTCTAAACACGGTGTTTTACAAAAGCAAAGGCAACGGCAACGACGGCAGCGCAAGGACATCGACAACAAACATGCGAGCTCGGCACTTATCATGTGCGAATTGCACTGAAAAAAAAATGTCATTCACATTAATTACACTGCTTAATAGAACTCAGGTCTGTTTAAACTTATGATGCAACGTTTAAGCTACAAACCAAAACTGAAGAGAGCCTCCTGGAACTCATAGAAACTAGAATTTAATAGGAATGAAAAACAGGCATTCTAGTCATTCGGCATCTCTCTTTGATACTAACTTTACAAAGCAATATAAGAACGTAACTTTTGTAAGACACGTAGGCTTCAAAAAATTTAACAGATAGCTAACTATTGATGGTAGTCCTGCATCTTATTTAAAAAAGACCACGCAAAGGGCTCCGCTATGTTGGTGTGGCATTGAAAAGGGTCAAGGATAGAACTCTCGGGGCTCGTAATAGTGAAAACATAAATGGAAGGCTTTAAAACATTGTACCCGATTCAAAAGATGTTTAAAAGAAGTTAAACAAAAACACGGGGACTGCATTGAAAATACAATTATAGTCCCAGAAATAAAAAGCACCCACCTTATAAAACTTTAGTGTGGAGCTTGCAGACTCTACATAATTCAATAGTTTTTGACAAGTGTCATTAGTGAAGGTTGAAAATTGGAAAGATGGAAAAATTGTTCATCGTTATGTGATACAGCATTTTCATTTGAAAGCATTCAGTCGCACCAATATCAAAACCGAGCTAGATTCGTTTACGAAAGTACTCGATAAGAACTGATACGCATTTGAAAAAGTGCTGTGCATCGCCTATTGACAGAAAACTTGGAGCTGAGTAAGCTCTGCGTAATACTTGTATGGATGAAGTGTATGCTCACACTGGAACAAAAACAGCGTTAAGAGAATGTTTCGAGCAAGTGTTTGGCGATAATTAACCATCATACAGCCAAGCGATCGATTCATATCCATGAAATCCATGAAACATGGGTCCATCACTTCACACCTGAGGCGAAAAGAGGAGAATCCGCAACACATTATAATTCTAATAATATTTAAGTAGAGTATGCAAACTATTTTTAATGCAGATTGTTCAGAAAAACTATAAGGTTTATATTCAAATGATTATTTTTATGTGAAAAAATGTCTTTGTTTTTGTGTTCATCATTTCTATGAGACCGAGAATTGGTTTTCGGGCGAAATTAGGGAAAAAGAGATTTCTGTGGCATATAAATTGAATTGCAAACTAATTGTTTTTTTTATTTTTTATTTAAAGTGCATGTGTTCTGTGCACATCATGCGTCTAAAAGGGCTCCATTTTTCAACTACATTTTCACTTTTCCGCCTGCACTTGTGAGCCAAAAGTAGACGACGCGTCGCATCGAGCCGCGTCGCGTCGCATCCCTCCCTAGTGTCGCTCTCTTCAAAACTGAAACAGACAATGACGACAACAACATACCAGCATAAAAAATGAGATGAGATCTCTTGGTTTTTTTTATTTATATTTTAAGCAGCGAACACGTAGTTAAAAAACAAAAAACAAAAAATTGAGACCTGTAAACCAAGCTGTAGATGATGGCACACAGAGGGGAGTGTGGAGATGGCGCGCTGCTAAATAGAAGAGGCGAAGATGAAGGCGACGGCGGCAAAAATTGAAAAAACACAACTACAAAATATACAGACATACATACATGCATACATATATAGACACGCACACATGCATAGAAGCCACCCTTGAAAAATAAAAATAAAAAAAAAGAGGAACGAACGAAAAATTTCGCGCAGCAAAATTCTAAAGCGAAATTGTTCAGAGCTCAGGAGAACGAAGTGAAAAAGTAAAGAAAGAAATGTTGAAATAAAAACCTTGTTTCCGCGCAAG